AAATTGCTTTATGTTTGCTGAAATTATCAAATTTTTCATGATTTGTGGCAATAAAGTGAAGCATCAATTGCCTCAAACAAATAAAAATAATTAAATTTAATTATATTTTTTCGCACGATTTGCTCATGCATAGACCTACTGTACCTTATACGGTACACCTATTTTAGACTGGAATAAACCGTATAAAAATAATCTCAATAATATTTTTTTTGTAGTCATGATATCTATTGTACTCTATTTTTTAAATAAAATTGATAAATAACATAATTTACCATGAATAATAAGAAATTATACCTTCTTAAATACATTGTAAATATTTTTTTTGTTTTCTGTCGAGGAATTTCATAAATATTTCCGAAACCACTTGTTAAAACATATTTTTAAATATTTTTATGTAAAATAATCACTTTAAGCTTACTGTCACAATCATTTTTACAAATTAATAACAGTTTGGTACTTCGAAATATTTTCAGAAAGATACCGTACCACATAGGGTACGGTAGGGCTAAATGGGTTAATAGGCCCATTTCAGTGCACTTATTCACGTCCCAAATATGCTTGCCCTACTTCGGGACAAAATATGGGATGGTGCTGAGAAGATGTGGTAGAAGAAACTCATGCCCGTTTTCACCATCAATCCCAAAATTTTAAGTGACCCATAGTTACCATAGGGAACACGAAATTTTTTTTCAATTAAAAATTAGGGATTGATGGTGAAAACGGGCTCTTGTCACCTTTTTCAGCTTCTATTAATTACATTACCTACTATGCATTATTATTACCTTCTATGCTTGCTGTGCTTATTCAAATTATTTTATTTATTGGCTTTTCCAAATTGATGAATGTTTTTTTCGTGCTTTCATATTATTGGTTAGATAATATGTAGCACCCAGTAAATACCTTTACTTAACCAAATTGTGCAAATAAATATTTGAATTTGTGACAAAATCTATAATTAATACCTACAAAGCATCTAAATAATAAAAGTAACATGAGTAAATGACAGGGAAAACACTTTCTTCTATAAAAGTAATAGTTGCGAGCTTGTTAACTTGTAGTCACCTAGCCCTTTAGGCTTTCATTGGAAGGCTACACTACACCTTTCCCTGGTGTCAAAGCTCAAAGGTTTTATTCCAGGAATTACAGTTCTTGAAGAATCCGCCATTGTATTATTTGAAAAAGCAATATTTACGCAAAGATCTAATAAAACAGTCCTACTGTTGTAATGAAACCTTTTTTTAGGATGAAAGTAGTTTTTAATTGAAATAGTAATAAAAACTCTTTAAAAATTTTAGATCCATTGACTCAAGCTACAATAGACAAGCACGAGGCATCTCAACCCTAAATGTTACAACTGATAATAAAAAATCTTTTGACAACCCTATGAGAAATTCCAAATTCATAACCCGAGCGAAGCGAATCCAAAGGTCAACCACGGAAAGTATTTTGTTATTAAAATGTTGCTTCTTACGTAAAAAATGCATTACTTACCTGTACCTCTATTTTTCTCAAGTTTGACCAGCGTGTGTTGCCAGTGATGGTATACGGATCTGAGACGTGGTCGCTTACTATGGGCCTCATAAGAAGGCTCAAGGACACCCAAGTGTTGAGTGGCGACCACGAGCCGGAAGACGTAGCGTGGGCAGGCCTCCCACTAGGTGGACCGACGATCTGGTGAAGGTCGCGGGAGGTGCCTGGATGCGAGCGGCGCAGGACCAGTCTTTGTGAAAATCCTTAGGGGAGGCCTTTGTCAACACGACCTTTTTTTTATGGGACAGGAGGCAAACGAACAGACGGATCACCTGATGGTAAATGATTACCGTCACCCAAAGACACCCGTAGTCCCAGGGGCGTTACAGGTGCGTTGGCGGCCTTTAAGGTGTTATACGCTTTCTTCTTGAAAATTTGTAGGTCGTATCGTGTTTAAAGTAGGTACAGAAGCAAAACAAANACGATTTGTTAAATCGTAACTATAGAATACACGTTACTCAGCTTGTCAGAACATTGTGTTACAAATTAAGTTAGGCACCTTTCTCGTCACCCTACATCCTGGGAACAGTGTAATTTTATACAGCAGGTTCTAAAACCGATAAGTACTTTGGAATTATATGTTTTTAAATGCACAATCAGGAAGCTCTTGGCATGCAACTTAACTTACCTGATGGAAAATGATGATCACGCTGAAGGCGGAAGCGAGCTTCACTCGGAATTCTCTACCACAAAGGAACTGGCTATCTTACTTTTAACTACTGGAACACAACAATGCTCATAAAACTGAATATTTATAATTATTCAATAGTGATAATTCAGTGAGTAAATCCTACTAATATTATAAATGCGAAAGTTTGTATGGATGTCTGGATGTTTGTTACTCTTTCACACAAAAACTACTGAACGGATTTTGATGAAACTTTACAGTATTATTGTTTATAACCCAGAATAACATATAGGCTATAAATTATGACGATCTGTAACAAACTAAATTTCACGCGGGTGAAGCCGCGGGCAAAAGCTAGTTCACTATAAATGGCATGTTATGAATAAGTCGAAATTGACAGTAAGAAAAAAAATTATAAAGTAATTGTCTAAAATTAAGAGAGAATGAGCCTTCCGTTCATTTTCATAAAGTTAGTGTAGACTATTCTAAAATAACAGTATGGCTAAAGTACACCGTTTAGACTGGTCTTTGTATTAAACATTTCCTAGGAGACCTGTGTTTGGTCCTATTGTTCCTGTGTTATTCATTCCAAAGCTAGTTATTACAGGTTGACTAAGCAAAGGGTATTTACATTGCTAGTTTTGTTTGTAGAGTTTAAAGCTACAGTATTTAGTATCGGTGGAAACTAGTATTAGTATTATACTAGTATTAATACCTAAAATAAAGCCATGTAGACTTGTATAGATTTCCATCGTATATCCATGGGACGTCCACCCACAAGGTGGACCGACGACCCCATAAAGGTAGCGGGAAGGCGCTGGATGCAGGCTGCCAGCTAGCGGCCATTGTGGAAATAATTGGGGGAGGCCTATGTTCAGCAGTGGACGTCCTATGACTGAAATGATGATGATGATGATAGATTTCTTTATTAAAAAGAACGTGAGATGCTTCAAAACTCTCATTCTAATTAATTAATTTTGCAATTTGGCTTTTATATGTCTAAGTATTAACCCTACCACTGCTTCGGGACAATAAATGGGCCAGTGCTGAGAAGAAGTAGCGCAAGAAACTTAGTCACTATTTTCAGCCTCTTTTTCAAGGCTTTACAGTCTTTAAAATATACAAAGTTATGAATATTGTCTAATCTTTCTTATAATATTACAGAACGTGGGATACTTCAAATTCAAATTAATTTATTTTGCAAGTAGGCTTAAAAAGCAATTGCACACGTCTCATTATAACTTTAACCCTGCCACTGCTTCGGGACAATAAATGGGCCAGTGCTGAGAAGAAGTAGCGCAAGAAACTCAGTCACTATTGCCAGCCTCTTTTTCAAACGAATGCGATAGGATCTAAAATATTAGCAACCTAGCTAAGAGCAGTTTGCGAGGATAAATTGATAGAACCCTACCTAATTGTGTATAAGGGTGAATTTCAACAAGTGCATATTTTTGCCTAATTTTGGTGGAAATTGTTATTTGTGTATTTTTATTATTTAATTATAGATCAAATTTATTGGAAACTTATACTGTTTCTAAAATGATTAAGACATTAAATTTTGTCCAGTAGTTTTTTAGATTTTCCTTACACCAAAATTAAGAGAACACCAAAATTTATATTAAAGCACCAAAATTAGAAAATATGCTGTCAGTCGGTCATATCTTAGTGCCAAGCTCAAGAAATGGTTTTAAATTTACCAGCACCGACTCCAAAAATATTAATCATGGTATATTGTCCTAATAAATAAATAACGACGTACTTAATTATTGATGAATAATAAAATAAATCCTACTAGCTCGATTGATGGTTTCATTTAATTTATTTAAACCAGGTTATCTTTAATAATATTTTTCGTTAATTTATGAAAATATCAAATTAGCCCGTAATCCTGAATCCTGATACATAAATTTAGCCTATTAATTTAACACATGTACGACTGTACTCAGTGTTGCACTATCAAATGCAATTGAAGCGCCTCTGTGCCAGGGTTTTTATGTTCCTGGTCAGGCTATATTTAACGTACACATGACAGTACATAGACTACCCGTTTTTATTGCAAACTCGCCTTTAACTCAACTACATAAGACCCCGTGTTTACTTTGATGTGCCGTCTGTACATTAAAGAAAGGTCTGTTTATCTTCAAAGTAACGATAAAACAGGGAGTCGAATGGGAATTTGAAATTCCTTGTAAATTCGTATTTTAAACCGTTTTCACACTAGCAAGCAATTCTCAAGCAATACCCGGGTGGCTTAGGAACCGGTGAGTGCGGGCACAGAATAAGTAATAGTACAGGTACAGAAGGATNCTGTGTTCGTAGTGTTTACAGTAGACTCCCGGTCCCGTTCCCAAGGCCAGGCTATCTTGGCTTGGAGCTGTCAGTAAAACAGATCAGTCAGTAGGACGCTATTTGCATCAAATATGATATTGCTCAATAATAAATAATAAATAAAAAATAATAAATAAATAAAAAGATTAGGCTGTTCTGTTGGGATTTTGGTCCTCTTTTCTAGTTGTCCCTTGTTCAATATCTATCCACTTATTAGCTCAATCCACTGTTTTTTTCAGTCCACTGGTATTGTTTTAGATCAAGTACGGAGGTACTTGTACTATTACTACATGCTTGACTATGAACGAGTTCTGTAAGTGCCCACCAACCTAGGCAGTTTTGTATTAGTATATCAAGGGCAGTAATTATGTCCTTATGATTTTTTTAAGTTATTTAAAATTTAGTTGGTTCAAGGGGTTCGCGTATATTAGGGTCAGTTGCAAGCAACCGACTCAGGCTTCCCTTTACCTGACTGTTGGGGGTGGACCAGAATCGATAGCAACATGGAGCCTACATGGATCAATTACCCGTAGCTGCCGAAGCTTGCCTGGAAAAGGTGAGATGTTAGTGCAAGAAGTAGTGCAGAAGCTGGTGATGTCTGATAACACAACTATAATGGTCACAGCCGTAGCCTTTGTGCTAAAAATAATCTCCCGTACTATGATAATATCAATCCTCACTTTCCTCACACTTACCTTTCCGTTAAATCACTGGTCAATAGTATGTAGAAATAAAAATGTTAATTAAAATACTAATAATAATCATTAGACGTTTAGACAAATTCAAGTTCTTTATTTAGTGCTTTCTTCTTATGATATTTTCAATAATAAAATGTATTTAAACTATTTTCAACCTTATGACTTACACATAGAGTTCAAAATTAATTGAAGAAAAAATACAAATAATGGTAGCATGATGTGCCAGAAACTCTAAATAAATTCTAAAATAATAATCTTTACTTGCTTATGAACCAAATAGTATGAATTCTTGGATAAAATAAAAAAAAAATTCCGACGCGCATCAAAATTCGCCCGCTTTGTCCTGAAGAAAAATTTTTTTTCACCTACTTTTTTCGAAAAAAGTACCATACAATGGCATATATTTATAATCCTGATAAATGTAGCTTTCAGGACATATTTTTTTTATTACATTATCTCCAATGGTTTAAAAGTAAACGACGTTTATTTAAAAAAATACTTTTTGGTTTTTGTGAATTTTACTCAATATTTCTATTTTTTTGTATGAAAAGGTAAAAAGTTTGTTCTAGAAATGAATTCGCCATTCTTTAATTATCCGAAAATGACACCACACTTGCCCTAATACCCATAGTTTTGAAGATATGGGCCTTAAAGTGAAGCGCGGCAGAAGGAAACTTGCCCCCCCTCCCCCTGCTACCACAGGGGGGGCTCCCGATGTCTACCGACGGAAATCTACTCAGGAGCACCCAAAGAACAACTGGTGCAAAAATGAGCCTTCTATACCAAAGTGGAGGGGTCTCCATACAAATCATTGCACTAAATTCCCTACTATCCAACTTAGTTGACGTTTTATAAAACTATTTGTCTAAGTGTCATCGAGCGACCGCTGGTGGATTTGCCATTTACCTGACCTACCCCTTTATTACTAAACGTTTAATATCAGATGAATAGTTACGCACCAATTTCTTTCATTCAGTCGTCAGTAATTGAACTTTCGGAAAAACATGACGAAGCGTTGTGTGACCATACAGACGCTATTCAACTTTTATTAGTAAGGAAGAGTATATTTTATGTTGGTAGAAACACAATAGCATAGACTAATGTTTTGACACCCTGTTAAAATTTTTATTAGTCATTTATTTTTTCCTGACCAAACAGATACCATAATAATATCTTTTATCTATTCTACCCATATTCTGTAAGTAAAATAATAAAAAGTTTGAAAAGAAAGAAATTACAAGTCCGATTTACCTAAACAAATAAATTAAAAATACTTGCGGATCAAAAGTACTCAATCATACTACAATTTACGAAAAAATCACGCGTGACGCATATACGTCAGTGGGCAGTCAACTGACATAGACCCGGCGTCTACGAGTGCCAAAGCACGACTGATTTATGCCATTTGATGCACCCGATTTTATAGTATTTTCAAATTAATTTTTCATTTGAAGATTGAAGATAGATATTTTTTCTTTTTCACACAATAATAGTACTATGTTTCTTCTTAAGTATAAAGTAGTTTATGTTGCCAAATGACTTTTAGATTATGAGATGTGACCTGTTTTCTTGCAGTAATTTTCTCGAATTTTGACTATCTTAGACATGATAAAAATGCATTTTAATGAATTAAACATCAAAATTTTCTCAATACACTTTCTTCTTCAGGGTATGCTTATTCTAATGAATACATTCTATCTTCTTACTTAGAAATAAATTTGTTGTAATATTAGTTCAAAGTTGTGCCTTCGCGAGTTACCTGGAAATCGGGCTTTCGAAATTCGCTGTTTTCGTAGGCAAAAATCCAATTTGAACGAGATTTTGTCAATAGACATTCCGTAAAAACGTATGATAATTACGATGATATAAGTCAAAAGAAGCTATAACAATAAATTATATGACTAAAATCATTTCGAAATCTGCCAAATTCTCGATTTCTGCATGAAAAATGTGACAACGCTCTTAAGAAGAATTGGTAGTTTGCTTGAATGTATTGGTTTGGGGTAAATGCTCGTCGTCAAATGCGAGCTATAAAGTTGTTCTGGTTTCAATGTAGCGAATGGTTTTCTATAAAAAAACCTTTGTTCTGTTTGGTAAAATAATAATTTTGTAAATATTTTTGTAAATGTACCTTAATCAATAAGGGCTCTATTTTGTTATCCAGTTTAACAAACAAATAAATTAAAACCAGCGTCATCACCTAGGTATTCTGATCATAATTAGTGGTTTGTAAATAACTAATAACGTCCTTTACATTACATAAAAAGACATGTAGACATTACATAAAAAGTAGTAGAATTTTGGCAGCCTTGCGGTTTCTTCTTATTTTATTTTTTTCGTTCACTTAAGTTAATGTTACATTGTACTTTAATCCAAAATTAAATAAATATTCTCATCCTATTTGGTAGCCAACGGACGGTAGCAAAACATCATCACCAGATGGCGCTATCTTGGCTCGTTCTACCTTTTTTTTCCGCAAGGAGGCAGAGGCCAAGGAGGCCAAGTCATAAGTCATGTCACCGAGTTTTTCATGCTAAGGGATTCAATTGATATTATTATGATAAAGACAAAAAATACAGAAGAAAACTAGTTCGCGCCAATTTGGCGCCGGCATGGTGGCAAAACATATCCTGCCCCCATTGTGCAGCAGTGTGACTGATCGCTATAGTAATTATGCCGGTCACGCCTTTGATTCCGGGTAGCTCATTAATGATTATGAATTAGCTTAGAAACAACGTTATTAAGTAAAAAAAGTAAATAAAAGCTTGTAAAAATAGCTTTTTTTTGTCAATGACCCGGATTTTTAGGAGGCAAGAGTGGAGACTTATGATAACTAGACAAGTTTTAGTACCAACCTCAGATTGAGACTTTAACTGTGGTTAATTAATCTGCCTGTTATCGAATAAAACAAAATAGGCTAATATCAGGTTTTTGTAGTCAGTCAGTTTGTGTGTCTTCGTAAACGCAAAATGCAAGATAGAGCAATGACATTCAAAAATAGTATTATTTGTGGTTAACGCCCGTATTCACAAACAATGTTTGCTTAAGTGAAGTAGCAAATCGAATGCACAGCGTTGAATAGAGCTCTGTGATTGGTTCATGTATCAACCTGTGCGTCCACACGCACTGTGAGACCTCATAGTAATGTTTGTGAATACGGGCGTAAAAGTAGGTCTTAAGCACTTACTAAAGACCTATACCTATAGCTTTTTAGCTTTTTGTCAAAACAATTGACAACCAATAAGTATTGCTCAATTCATTTATCAGACCACCTGCCTGCTATAAACAGCTTTGTCTCACTGTCAATAATATTAATTATCTTCTATTTAAGCACGAGTAATTTATAATAACAATGAACGTTTAGAATAATCTTGATGAGTCGTCATTGTGCCGCTATCGGTGGCCTGTTAACGGGCCGGCCGATTGTTGGATAAACATGGAATTGAAGTAAATAATTGAATGATAAATTGATGGTGGTTAAGAGGAGATAGTAGATATTAATTCGTTTAATTATATCAGTAGAAATCAGTCCCTATCGCCCACGCAGGCTGCACGCGTTGGTTTGGCCGAACCTTTACTGTGATTTGATTGATATTGAGCAAAAAAAATTGTTAAAATCCATGCTTATCTGCGGGTTAAATTGAGGAAGAGACGTATGTTGAATGGCTTAACATAAGCTACAAAACATTTACTTTTTTCAACCGATTTCAAAAAAGGAGGAGTTGAGGTTGGAGTTTGTTACGCGATAACTCCGCCAATTATGAACCGATTTGAACAAATCTTTTTTCGGCGTATAGGTAATACCTCAAGGGTCCCATTTAAATTTAATAATAAAAAAAACAACTCCCAAGGGTGGAAAATTGGGGATGAACTTTTTTATACGCAATATCTCCGCCGATTATAAACCAATTTGAACGATTATTTTTTTGTTGAATAGGGATTATCAAAAGGGTGGTTTCATGCGAATTTGAAGAAAATATTTCACCCCCAAGGGTGGAAAATTGGGGATGAACTTTTTTATACGCAATATCTCCGCCGATTATGAACCAATTTTTTTTGGTCTCAGTGTACTGCCTACCTTCAGTGGTAACATCAAGGTAATAATTAGTTAACTAAAAAGCAAGAAATAAGTAAAATTTTATAAAAAAAAATAAAACCGACTCCAAAAAACCTACACTAAAACGTAGAAAAATAATTACTAATTACCTACTTATTTATTAGGACGAATTATTAATATTTATGTAGGTATACCATGATTGATACTTTTGGAGTCGGTGCAGGCAAACTTTACATGTTTCATAATCTTGGCACCGACTCCAGAAGTATCAATCATGATCCTACCTACATAAATATTAATAATTCGTCCTAATAAATAAGTAGGTAATTAGTAATTATTTTTCTACGTTTTAGTGTAGGTTTTTTGGAGTCGGTTTTATTTTTTTTTATAAAATTTTTCCTTGTATTAAAGCGTCCGAAAATCTATTATTTTCTTATTTGGAAAATCAGAGGAATTCAAATATTTATTAAGCTGAATTAAACTGATTAAACGTAGCAATATAGAAGAGAAGTTTTTTTTTACAAAATACCGAACCAAAATTGTTTTTAAGTTAGGTTATATTGACTACGTTATTAATTTACGTGATTTTAATCAGACATAGTATGTACATAAATTTTCGCCACCCTCCATATTTGATTACGTTGATAAGTAGGCATTAGCTAGGCTTCAAGTTGCTCATCGGCAGTATAATGAGATTATCATCATATATTCATCAGACATCAACCAATTTAATCTTTAAACCTCGAGAGTGAATAAGCACTTACAGGGCAGATATGAACCATTCCAAACAGCATGTGCTGT